TACAATAAATTGTTGCCATTATCGAGAATCATTCATGTACATACATATCGTCGCTACTATGTCAATCTATCGAATGTGAAAATGGGTACTTTTCAGGAGAATAAAAAAACTGTTGTAAAAAATGTTGTTGTCATTAAGAAAAAGTGTGTGTATCGATACTTTGTTAAATCCAGCATCTCTTCTTCTTAGAAGACTAGAAATTCAACGATTTGCCAACTGACATATCATTCTAAACGCATGCGCAAGGTACCGTAAATGAAAAAAACATTTTTGCACATTCGATAGTTTAGCATAGTAGCGGCGATATGTAAAATTTTATAATAATAATGTTAGTTCACTTCTGACTTATTATTGTATATGTGGAGTATTATTATTTTTTTGCTTCCTATTATTGAAAAGTAAAGAAACGCTCGAATAGTCACAAAACAATTCTGAAAAGTTCACAAAATCCCGAAAACACGATGAATCTCCATACTAGGGATGTTTCGGATGTCATATTTTTCACATTCGCGAATGCGACTGCGAATGTTAGGAATAACATTAAAAAAGTTGTAATCAACTTAAGNAATTTTGTAAATTATTAGAACATTGAACGAGTGCTTAGCCTATACAGTGCACTATTGTCTGGCGACTATCATTTGCTGGCCAAAAGTCGAGGAATAACCAAATTGATTTGAAACTTAGTGTTTGGGGTTTTTTGAGGTCGCTAATTTCGAATATAATGTCAGATTTTCGAAATTAAAAATGGCGGATCCAATATGGCGACCAAATTTTATACTTCTTTCCCTTCCACCAAAAACTTATACATAAGCGGGGTTTTCAAGATCGCTGATCTCGAATCTGATGTAAGATTTTTGGAATTTAAAATGGCGGATCCAATATGGCGACCAAATTTTATACTTCTTTCCCTTCCACCAAAAACTTATACATAAGCGGGGTTTTCAAGATCGCTGATCTCGAATCTGATGTAAGATTTTTGGAATTTAAAATGGCGGATCCAATATGGCTACCAAATTTTATAATTTTTTTTTTTCACCATGGGGGTTTGGATCCCACATGGCGTTATCGGGAAAAAATTTTAGTTAAAAAAGTTGCTTAGTTTTTGGTATATATTTTTTTCTAATCACACCTTCTTCAAATAATAACTTTTTCCTTTAAATATAAGTTTTTATTTGTATTTATTTGAAAAGGCACTAGCACAAAAAGTATATTACCAATATTAAGCTACATATAAAGTTGAAAAAATAACGTAACGTACAAGTTTAAACAAAAAAAAAACAACAATGCATTTTTTTTTTGTCATATTCTTCGGATGTGCTCCATCTAATAATCAGCCTCATTGCGAGAGTCGTGCCGAATGCAAGTCGTTTTTCGAGAGTCGAATCGTATCGAAAATTTAGCGTCATTGCCTAAACTTTCCACTCGACTAGTGTATTAAAACGGAAGAACTTGGCAGCACTGCATAGTTTTCGACAATTTTAGTCGTTTACTTATTTCAGCACGACAATGCTAATGTTGTCGAGTCGTACAATTCAGCCTAATTTACGACTTACGTAATGAGGCTGAATATTTCGCAGCAAAATGTTTAAAACAGCTGCTTTTCAAACGTCGAAAAGCACGGCAAAACACACCTTTTCTAATAAAAAAGCCCATTATTCAAAAAATGCACTCTAAACTCTAAATTGAAAATTTTTATTGCCCACAAAGCTTCAAGACCGCCAAATGAATTAAAGTGGAATATTATTACCCAAATTGAAGTCCATTTTGAAAATGAATTCTATTTTATTTAGCAAGCTATATGTTAGCTTTCTTTTTTGTTAATCATACAAACATTCATTTCCATTATCTTTTATGAAGTATCTTTCGCGCCCCCAAGACATACATACCATTTCGAACTACAAAACTACTGACTACGAAAGAAATAAGTTTTAAAACTTTTAGTAAAAATGTCAGCTGATATCTCAATGGGAAAACTCTTTAAGAAAATAATGAGTATGTACTTTTTTACTCTGGAGAATTAGTTTAAGGAAGGGACAAAAAAATCGATTTATCGATACTCTAAAAAATGACTTGACCAGCAAATAGTAGCTATCAGAACATAGTGCAGTGTTTTAATCTAGTAGTCAAAGTTCAAAAGGGGCATATTATATTTAAAAAAAAAGTAATTTTAGTTTAGTTTTCCACCAATCGAGAGGATTTTTACGGAGATAAGCTCATTTGTCTTTAGGATAGGTCTTCAATTGAGCTTTGTGGGTCGATTATCGATAGCAATCAGCAATTCAGTTGCGTAGCTAGTTGCCAAAACGATATTACAGATGGCAACTGGCAACTTTCAACTGACAACTGCAGTTGCACAAAGTATTTATACAGGCGAATACATGTATGTGATTGCTGGGAATGTTTTTGTAGCGTATTTAGGAGCGAAAATTTGAAAAGTGTGTCATATATTTTATTTTTTAATAATTTGAACGATATTGACCGTTTGCAATGCAGTTTGCTTTTACAGAATATGGTGAAAATAACAAAACAAAACTTGAAATTTTAGTTCCCGTGGAGTACGCCCTTTTGGCGAAACAAAAGCGAACACTGATTGCAAATTTTTTCATTTATCAACTGAAGCACCTCTTTTAAAACTACCGACACACCAAGTTTTCCAAATTCAAGTCATTGCTGTGGCACTTCCTTCTGCGAAAAATCGAAGAGGTGCGCAAGCTTTTCTATGAGCGGAGGTATTGAAGTTGAACGAAGTGGTTCATTTGTTTATTAACCAATTATACTACAGCTTCTTTTGGAAGTCCTCAATATGCTTTGAAAATGAACACGAAACGAAAATAAAAGAAAAATCTTTGAAAGCATTAACTTTTGCTTACAGTGCACTCGGTAGCTCTAGAGGATTGGAATTATCCTTTAAATGTCTCTTGATTGAGGCCGCGTTCATGCACTTCTCTTCTTCTTAAACAAATAATTGTGACGAGTTTAGCTTTATTGCTGTCTTTTCTTTAAAACTCTTTATTTTAATAATTTAATTTTACTCGCACAGCTTGTTTACAGCCGCTTGCTGGTTGTCGAACTGTCAAATTTCGATTATCGATAATTCTACAGCAACTGACGATAGTTGCCATTCGTAATACAAATTTTCTTTACAGTTGCGTTGCCAGCTGGCAACCGAAGCGTGGTTGCGTTGCTATCCGTAATCGACTCTTTAATTTGACATTTTCTAATGTCTCCAAATTCTACATCCGATCCTTCGCTTTCACTGAAAGAATCTATAATTATTTCTAGGTTGCTTTTAAGACTTTGAGCAAGGCCCATCAATTTGCCTGATATACCACTTAACCGTTTAGCGCCTGAAGCTAAAAGTCGGTTATTGTCCGCACCCTGGTTTGGCAGACTTAGAGCCATTTCAACAATATTAGAGTGGAGTCTCTCCCCATGTACACAGTCGCATTCGCAAAACATTTGTATTATTTGATGCGAATTATTCGCATGACGAATGCGAACGCAAATATTCGCAACATCCCTGCTCCAAACATCCCGGAAAAATGCCGAGAGTGCTCGAAATATCCCAAATAACTTGAGAAATTTCGATAAAAAAATTTTGGAAACTATCCAATAAGGTCTCTCCCGAAAAGTCCCAAAAAATAATGACAGTTCTTAAAAATCTCGAAAATTTCAAAAAGCAAAACGCGAAACCTTCCGAATAATCGTGAAAACATCTATACAGATACAAAACCTCTTGAAAAAAACTCAGAAAACCTCGAAAATATCTAGGAAGATCGGGAAAACTAGAGCACGAACAATCCTATATTCTAAGATATCCTCAAAAAAAAAAAAAAGAAAAAATAATCGAAATTTTGAATACAAAATAATAAAGGTCCTAAGGAAATCCCATTGTACTAAGGCAGAGGAATCTAATGGTTTATTTAAAAAAAAGCGGTACGACAATTTTTTCACTACATCTTTTTTTATTTCAAAGTCTAAAAAGAACTGGAAATTCCTTTAAAATAGTATATTAAGTTGTTGCAAATGAAAATATTTAGATAAATGTTGATATTCAAATAGCTTTTCGACGCACAGCCTTAAAGCATATATCTACCGTAAATATTGCAGTTCTCAAGCGGGAAACAAGGTCCTCAGCGCTGACAAATATGTAGATGCTATTGGGTTTCGCTAATTAAAAAGATAAATACAACGCATTTCCAAGAATTTCCAAAGTGATACAACAGCGCCGTTTTAGTGAAGGGTTTAATTGTAATACAAATAAAACAATTCTGAGGGAATGTGTTTGTAATTTGATTTATTTTGATTTTGATGAAACTTTATTCATCCACTAAAATAAGTTTTGTCATTTTGTACAAGTGATCAGTTATTACCAGGAATCAATGCATACAGATCAACACCAGAGCTCCTTACATAAATACATACTATTTTGTATGCATATCAATATGAATGTGCATACATATACATGCATACACAATTTATGTACATATTCATACATATATACAGTCTTTATTTCCAGTGATGCCAACAACTGCTATGTATTTATATCAGCATCGCAATCAAAATAGTAGTAGTAATTCTTCAACTATTTACAGTATTTGCCGCCGCTTCGCTAGTTGCAAGTGGGTGTTGTAGAGGCACCTCGCTAACTACTGGAAAGAGGTCAGACACATTTGTTAATTCTTCAACACTCGTTACATGTGGCTTTAACGTGTCACTGGCATTTGACTTAGTGAGTTGATAATACGCCGTGTTGCTATGCGTTATATTGACTATGGTCCCGGTTAGTGGCAACGATTGTAAAAGCTCCAATGGGCTGCTGAATGCGCCAATATTGACGGGCGCTATGCCGGTAAGTACTTGTCCGGAAATGTTCGTTTGGATCGGCAAAGGCACATCACCGAGGTTGATATGGCTCTGGTTGGAGTGTGCATCATAGAAGGTCAAATCAACGCGTTCTTGGCTAAAATTACAACACAAACTGAAATATGTAGATGTTCCGGTTGCGGTTAAAAATGTGTGACTTTCTACCTTTCAAAACTGGTTTCATTATCGTCCACTTCCGTTAAAATTCCAATTTCGTACACAACAGCCTTAACAACATAACTACAAGATAGGATTTAAGCTAAAAAAAATGATTCATTAAATTAGGCTATTTATTCAGTGCTTACAGATTCTTTGGTGTATCATTGAGACTCGCTTGTAATTCCTCAATCGTTGAGTTGTCTATGCCTGACGAAGTATCCAATACTGGCAATGTCTCGGAGGCAGCAAATAGCGCAGCGAAAATAAGGAAAATTTGATATTTGTTTTTCACTGGCATTTTAAGTTTGACTTTGATTGTGAAATTTTATAATCCTAGCCTAATCCTTATTACTTTCCGTTACCTATTTGCAGTGAAATAGGTTTGTGGTTCTGCGTGTCCTCAGCCGCACTACTTTCCAGCAAATAACTTCGACAACTTAAAACTTGCTGCATAAATTACGTCGTTTTTATATCGAGCTCTCTTATCTGGAATTGATATTTGTTTACATATATTTTAAGCTTTGAAGTTTAGTTTAATTAACATGATCTGTTAATTGTCGATTCAGAGGTGTTAATTTGTAAGGTGGAGCAGAAGTAAGGAAAACATTATGGGCTCTAATTAATTTGGCGCGTTTCAATGCATGGAATCTAAATGTCAGACCCCCTAAATTACACATATCTGTGACTTGGCTATTAAGATTTTTTCGATATACGGACATTCGCACATATTTATGTACATATATATATATATATATACCATCCCAGCAAACATTTGGAGTCCTATTTCGGAGCTTTTACGCTCATAATGCACCCAGAGTCTGCAATTTAGGTGTTTCCCTTCTGGTGAAGGTTGACTTAAATGAGCTTAAATTCATAAATGCAAATGTACGTATGTATGTACATACATACATACCTACGGTGACCATCTGTCCTGCATTATACGGGACAGTCCTCTTTTTGGACCCTTGGTCCTGGTAATTTATTTATTTTATACGGGACGCCAAATGTTCTATATTTCTTTTAATGTCCTGTATTTGTCCCGTATTCGGTGTTTCGCCTTAACAGCTCATTTAAATGGCTTGCCTATGTACGAGTTTTAAGCGATGTTGGTATATGGTCGTAATATTCTCCATATTTTCTAGTCTGAATGCCTGTGATTCCTATCGAGGAATACATACAGTGACCAAAATAGCAATTAGGACTTGATATTTTATTAAGTTTTGGTTATTTTTCCCTAGTTTATGTAATGTTTGTTATTTATTTTATGAAAGTAAAGCTCTTTTCCTAACAAAAACCATATAATACCAAATATCAAAAACTTTGTGCAAAAAAACTATAAAAATTAATTCTGCAATGTTTCACCAAAATTTCAAACTTTTTAATTAGAATCTTAGAAAAAAATTCGGTGAGTATAATAAAGTGCGAGTGGAAAGTGCTGCTCAGTTGCTTCTGTTTCAAACAAACGGTCGAACATATTTACTTTGCATGAAAACATGCGAAAACAAAAAAAAAATGCCAAAAATTAATGGTACGCCATAGCGACTTAAAATAGCACTTTATTATACTATAATTTAACGTTTTTTTTGTTAACAAATTTTACGGGGTAAAAATATCGAGAAAATTATCCTACAAATTTGTGATGTTACTAAAAGGATACTTTTTCAGAGCTAATACATCTAGAATCATTGAAGAAGGCTTTGAGATCTGTAAACTGTTGTGGAAAAAATTTGCAAAAATATTTTTTGTTCCATATTCGGCTCTCATAAATATGGTCACCGTATACATACCTTATAAAAATCAGTAGTTGCAGCCAAATTTATATCAGTACATACTTTATACAATTCGTTTAAAAAATTTAGGCCCTTATTATGAGTTGCATTCGATCTTCGACTGTGGTCGAAAGTGCTAATCGAACGAATTTTCATTTGGTATTATGGCGCTCATTCGATGAAGAATAGCGCTATTGTGAATTTCGCTCGTTTAGGTTTGTGAACATATATTTTTCACCGCTGAGAAGCTTTGTTTACAGATCGAGCAAACTAAATAGAGTGCTTATACATATGTACATATGTAAATTTGTGCAAATTAAAATGAAATAAAAAAGAAAGTGAGTTTATAAAAGCGGGGTAAAAAAAAAATTTAATTAGCACAACGGAGTTCTGGTTGAACGATTCGTCAGAGGATGAGGGCTTAAAAAACTAGCCAAGAGCATAAAACGTGAGAGTTCAGTCTTTCGAATATATTTTGACATACAATATATTTAAGAAATTT